AGAAGTAACCTAGAATTCCTCCTGCAGTTAGAGTCAGATGTTCTCTGCCAAGCCCTCTGTGATGGCTGGATTCACTCACCAGAAGGAATCCTGCAGGCACTCACACCATGATCATTTCCAGTGCTTCTCCTCTGGTTACGTTTCTGTTCATGGTTGTTTCCCCTCCCCTATGGCTGGAGGTGCACCCAGTGGCATTTCCAGTGGAACTCAGACTCCCCCTGTTCCTGGGAGCAGCACACAGCCCTGGGCACCCAGAGCTGCTGCTTTGGCAGGAGTGCCCCCCCTCCCCAGCCTCTGTGTACTGAGCTGCCTCTATGGCAGTGAATGAGTGCTGGGCATGGGGGATGAGGATGATTCAGTGTCTGAATTACCCATTATCCTCTGCTGCAAGGTCTTATTCCAAGTATTTTACATTATTGCAAGGAGAACCAAAATCCAAACAAATGCAATAATTTACAGTCAAACTAAAGTTTTGTTTTCTTAACTGTTCGATTTCTACACACGACATTTCTGCATTGTGGGAGCCTATAGAGGATTTCCTTACCTATTGTTTACAAGTGTTCTTGTTATGTGAGAAGCTTTAAATTTCTCTGGATAAATTATATTTAGGAAAACACAGTTTTGTTTTTTTAAATTAACACATTCAGTTAATAATGATGTTTAATTAGCTCAGACCCGCACTGCAAATTGGCCTGTAAATTTCTTTTTTCTTCACATATGGATTAAAAGTAAGCTTTCTGGTTTTATACTAAGGGTTGTTTTTTAAGCTGAAAACAATAGTCAAAAGGAGTAAACAAATGTGGGATTGTTCCAGTACTCTGTTTCTCCATCACATGATATTCTAAAAATACAGAAGTACCTACAACTACTTTTGGTGTCAAAGAATTTCTGTAAAATTAAGTCTTTCAAATTTATCTATGAAGCTTCTCTGAAGAACTTTCTTTAATCAGCTGTATGGATTTTGAAGAGTTTGTGATTCTCCTGCAGCACTGAGCCAGATAGGCCAACACCTTATTAAGAGGAAAAGATTTTCAATGTACTTTCCACAGAAGTATCAAATATGGACAAAAATTAACATGGTGTTGATAAATCAAAGCCAAGGGGAGGAGGATCCTGTGGTGCCAACAACACAGCCTGACAAGCTTCCATCCTTCTCTAGGATTGCTACAGGCCTCTTTTCTCACCTCTGCTGCTTCTGCCCCCTCATACTCCATTTCCCTTCAGGAGGGGTGTGCTGGGCAAAGCTCCCCTGTCAGCAGAAGGACACTCTGAACTTCCCCCTCTTGGTGTGCTTCCTCTCAGCCACACTGCCCTGGCCGCATGATCTGATGCCATAAGGGACTTTCCTGTGATCACAGGAGGATGAGCTAACTGCTCCCTGGGAGAGAGGGGAGGTTGGGATTTGATCCAAAACCAACACAAGTCTGTGGACACAATCTCATTGACTGACACTGGTTTTAAGTCAGACTCTATAAATAGAGAAATTTGCATGAAATGTGACCAGCTGAAACAATTGCTCTCTCTCTAAGTTTCCACCTTACATCCAGCAGAACCATCACCCTTCAGTGGGAATGTGTATGCTAGGGGCCTAGCAGGAACACAGTTGGGCCCTCTAAGGTTTTGACAAAATTAAAAGTCCACAGAGCTTTTGTCATTTTCTAGCCCAGCCTCCTGCTAAAGGCAGGACTACTGGCAGTGCTGGCTCAGCTCAGCCATGGTTTTGGGTTTTGTTTAGCTAAGCCTACAGGACCTTTAAAGGATGAAGGCTCTGAAACCTGAGTGGCCCATAAAGAGCTGCATTACTCACCTGGTGATTTTTTTTTTCCTAGCATCTGGCTTGAAGCTCTGAAGTTAAGACACCTGCCTATGCCACTGGTGGTTATCTGCCACTATGGAGAAGAATTTGTCCTCATAGCTGGCTTTGAAGTAGCCATAGCACTCTAAGTGATACCTCCTCCTCAGCAAGGCTCTGAGCCTCTGGGGTGAGGAATGTGCTCCAGGGCCCCATCCTGGTGGCTGTGCATTGTGTCCTCTCTAGTTTGTCAACATTTTCTTTGAACTGAGGGCCCTAAAGATGATTCCAGTATTTCAGCAGCAGCTTCACCATTTCTGGGCACTGAGACACCATGACTTATCTCACTTTCCTGACTGTATTTAATGCAGCTCAGCATGCAATTTTCTCCTTTTGCAATAAGAGCACACTCCTGGCTCATGACCAGCTTGACTTTCACCCTAACCCCTACATCCTCTTTGGGAGGGCTGCTTGTCAGCCCATTGAACCTGACTTCTGTGTAACACAACATCACCCTGTGCCTGCCCACCCTCCTACCAGAAACCCAGCGTTTATTTCCTGTTTTAAGAGCAACTTGGCTTAAAAAGTTTACGGGGTTTTTAACTCGTGCTGTCAGCTTGACCCACTGCAGAGATCAGTATCAGCTGCCCAGTCTGAGCACAGCTCCACATAATTCTGTACCTGGGCTGTATCCAATATGATATTATTGTTGTACCTTCTATACACTGCTATATACCTTTCCCTCTTGGTATTCCTTGATGTGGAAGAAGCCGCTGTCCAACCTCTGTTTCTGTAATCGCTCTTATCTGCAGTCGCTAAAGAGTTACAGTTTGTGTATCCGACCAGGAAATGTGAAGTGTTTGCAAGCAGCCAATAAAGCAGAGATCAACAGCCCAGCTGACTCACCGGCAGGAAATCCCGAGCTGCTTTTGAATGCCGGCTCACACTTGGTGTCACAGCAGTTTCACTCCATCATTCCGTAGTTTTATGTTTCTATTTCCAAAGGTAAGTTGATTTTTATTTCCAGTTTTTTTCCCTGAGACATCTGTATATTAATGTATTTTCTCTCATAGTAAGGGAATGTCTTTGCTATAAATTAACTTTTAAAAATTACCTTATAATTAGAAACTTGAAATAAATGGCTTTATAGCAGTCTTCTTCATGCCTCTGCCTGCACAGCTAGGCAAGGATGGCAAAGTTATCTGAGACTTTCAGTGTCTTACTAAAATATAATGCAAACTGTTTCCTTGCATAGGTGACCTCTGGAATATTGACTTTGGGGATTGATAATGAGATTTTTAATAGATATGGGAGAAAAAGCATTCAAAACAGCAGAATTATTGAAAGAATGTCTTGGTACCTTACAATACAAAGATGTAGAAACTCAGACATAGGGAGAATGGTGCTTAGCATGTCATGAGATGGTTTGTAACAATAAAGATTGAAGTGGTTTTTGTTTCAACTTTAAAAAATGTCCTGTTTTATTAGATTTTGCAAATCCAAAATAGGAGCTGATGATTAGCTTTAATTTTTGTTTAAGTAGCCAGTTAGCAAGAGTTTAAAAAATGCTTATATTATTACTTGATTCAATTTTAAATAAAAACAAATACTTTCAGGAATGGTTTAGGTGGTAAAACCATTATTTGGTCTTCCTTGCACTATGGTTGGAGTTGAGTAAATTATTTTGGCTATTTAAATTGTCATTTATTGCTGTATAGAATAAAAATCAGACATAATTTTGCTTCTGCCAGCATTTTTATAACCTCCTTTACATTCAGAATTGGTAGATTTGTGTGGTCTGTTTGCAACTTTAAGGGATAAATGCCTCATTTAGAAAATTATCTTCCTTCAGAGAAACCTTTTCAAATTTTATGAAATTGTTAACCTGTCAGCCTTATCTCTTAAGGACACTTCAGAGAAGCTCCTAAGGCAATTATTGCTTTCAAACTACAATGATCTAACAAAAAAGCAAAAAGTTCAACTGTGCTTTCCTACCAGAATCAAATATTGTAAAAGCTCAACTAGTAAATGAGCTGCTGCTTTTTGCATTTTGATTATGGTTAGAGGCAAAACTGAGCTTATATTGTGAATGTGCCTGCAGGACAAGACTGAGATAAACCAACAATAAAATGCTCATGAACTAGAATTCAAATTTATCTTCATTATTTTGTTTCTATTTTACTTGTGGAGAAAGAGTTATCTGGGCTTTGAGCCCTTCTGCATCCCAGCAGAAAGGCTCTTTTTGTAGACCACACCTCAAAGGACACAATTCTCATTTAACAATCCTTCACAGTCAATTCAGTTCCCTCACTCTTCCCTTTTCTAGCTCTGGTCTACTGGACCCCAAAGGGAATATTGCAGCTTGAGGAGTTCTGACTCACTGGCCACTGGTCTGCAGTGATCCTTACCAGTGCCAGCTGGTTTATGCCATCTGTTATCTTAGATTGCCTGGTTTCCTCCTTTACCCCTCACTTTTTGGCAACCTCCAGTCTAATGGAGCTTCACAGATGTAATTAGAAGTGTTACTCATGCAGGAACACAGTGAGGCTTTGCAGAAGGTGTCTCTAATCTGATGCCATGCCAAGGGTCTGAGAAGTGCAGCTGTCCCTGGAGAGGTCCTGCACAGACACTGCACTGCCCAAATTACTGGCAGCTACAAAGACACAACTCAGTTTAGCAGAATTCTGACAGCTCACAACAGCAGGAAATGTTCCTTTTTCTTTGCTTTTGCATTTACATATGATGTATTAAAGATGAGATGCAAGAATGATGCAGAACATGCTGACATCAGTTATTGAATAATTGCCTTTTTTATGAGAAGTGGAGAAATTATTTGCCTGATATGCAACTGTAAGATGCTAGTTTGTTGTCTACATAATTCAGTATCACATTAAAATCACATTTCATATTATAAGTACTGGTCTACTATTTTGAAGGCATCAGATAGAAATAATGATGAGCAAATAATTAGCACCTTGCAGCTTCAGATGGCAAATTATGGTCCAGACACTCCTTTGCAATTAGTGCATTTTTTCCTCTCTTTGTAAGGAAAGTCTGACACAGAGTGGTGAAAGGAAGGCTGTTGGATTTGTTATTTGGGAAGTAAGGGGTGGTGCAACTTCACTGTGCTTTGGTAATTATGACAAAAAAACCTCTTAAAACTTTTTTCTTTTCTGACACATTTTCCCCCCAAGCCAGCCATCAAGAAATGGCCAATCCACTACCTGCGGTGGCCCAGGAAGATTTGGAAAGCTTTACCTTGACCAGGACAGGCTCAGGCTTTGCACTCAAAGCCTTTCATAGTTCCTGGAACACTCCCATCTCTGTGAAGCTGCTGAGCAGCCAGGACACCACAGACAGGTATGGCTCTTATCTGCCCAACCCACCAGGCAGGTGGGCAGCACACACCTGCAGGGCTGGCACCACAACACATCCTGGCATATCCAGCATCACCTGATCCCTGAGCACATCCCCATCCCTAGAAATCCTCACCAGCCAAGAGGCAACTTGGAGGCAGTTTTACTGAGAAACAAGCTCTATGGTTTTTTACAATTTTTAATGAAGTAGAGCTTAATCCTGAAGTCAATAATTAATCTACTGGAACAAACCTGGATCAGCAATACTGGTATGATAAGGTGCTATTTTTCTAGAGGTCCCTGAAGAGACCTCAGTTGAATTTAATCTAAACCAGCCTGCACAGATGAGAGCAGGGGAAATGGGAGGAGGGAAGGATGGCCAGGGTTACACAGCAGTGAGATGCGCATGGAAACACATCATCCCCTTGCAAATGTGGATGTCACTAATAGCAAAGGATACAAATTATTTGGAACAGTAAAGGTAAATCTTTGTTTTATTCCTAGCATTTCATATACTCCAGCTTTTTCCTCCTTCACACTTCAATCCTGCTTTAAGCTGGCTCTTATGTTCATATTAAAGCATCCAGAGGTCTTTCATTCTATATTAGAAAAAAACCACTACATTATGACTGCTTCACATTCTTACAATTGTTTGGGAGATTATATGATACTGGGTTTATTGGTAAAAGAATACCAATTTTAAAAAAATTAAAAAAGAAAAAAATATGTTTGAGCTTGTGCTCAACCATAGGGTTCTCTCTCATTTCCGTATCCTACACTCTCATCTCCTGCTGAAGTTCCCTTCAGTCTAACTTGCCTCTGACTTGATTTTTTTTTTTACAGGGAGTGGAAGTTGCTACTTCAGGACATAGCAAGTGTCAGACACTATGAGTCTGAGCATCTCCTGCCTTTCCTTGGGATTTACCAGTGCCATGGACTTGTGGGGATAGTGACTGAATGGATGAACAATGGATCCCTCCAATCCCTCATCCATGAGGTAGATAAAAGATGTCATCTTAGAGGTGATAAAATTAATTACAAGATCAAAGAACAATCAGCATGTAAATTATGGACAGTAGTCACAATCTGTTCTTCAGTTTCTGCATTGTGTTTCTGTATGGTGGCTCTGTTTGTTGTCAAAAGAAAATGGGAATAGCAACAACTTCACAGTACCAAACCCTGTATTTTGTGTTATTTTGTGTTACTTAGCATCAGCTGTACCCAGAGGTTCCCTTTCCCTTACTCATAAGGATCCTGTCAGATGTGGCTGAAGGGCTGCAGCATCTTCACAGCCTGGAACCTGCTCTCTGCCACTGCAGCCTGAAACCTTCCAATGTGCTTTTGGATGTGCACTACAGAGCCAAGGTAGGAGTTTTACTTTTAGTCCATTACCATTAAATCCAGTGATTATCCTATTGTCACATATATTGATGTTAATAGTCAACATTTGATATCAAGACTTGTTTTATTGTTACTAAAACTACTTTTGCTTGCATTTCCGTAGATATCAGATTATGGCCTGAGCAACTGGAGGAAACAGCAGCTGAGGTCAGACCTGCAGAACTGCCAGCAGAGAAACTGCCAGGATTTAGTGTATCTTCCTCCTGAAATACTTGAAGGAGGCCTCCCTTCCCAGGAAGGTGACATTTACAGGTGAATGGAGGCTCTAAGGCCACATCATTTCCAGTCCATGCTGCACTCTACAATGCTGCCAAAACTCTTCTCTTCAAAGACATTACAGTAAAAATGCCAGACATACATAATGCAGTAGGATAGTATGGCATGAGGCCAATTACAGCAGTGAATTAGATTTTAAATTCCCATATTTGGTGAAGCAGATATCAAGGTTAACAACTGTTCCCAAAGTCAGTCATATAAATATTTATATAATGGACCTAAATGTTTTAAAAGTGCAAAGCTGCCAAAACTTTCAGATATATTTAGAAGCCTCATAACTGCTTCACATAGTTTATAAGTGTGAACTGTTGCTGGCTTTAGTTTCAGAAAGAATTGTTCATGCCTAGATCAGGCCCAGGTAAAGATAAGACCTTTCCCTCAATAGTGTCCTATTTAAGATGCTGAGATGTGACTCAGATGCATGAGATTTGTGTGCATCTAAACAGTAATGCAACAGAGAAAGCAAAAATTTGTGTCATACATGAAATACAAAACACATTTAAGTTACATGTATGTCCACATTACATGAATACTTTCCAGATTTTTATGTGAAAGTAAGGCAAAAGAGGAGGCTCTTTTAACTACTGCAATCACTACAGCAAGATAGATAAATAAATAGATATGTTTATCCTGGAACTGCCTCTTCCCCTTTTGATTGCTTTGCTTCTGACTTACCTGTCGACTGTTTTTTCTCATCCAGCAGCCTCCTCTTTTCTGCCTCTGATTTTTGATATTTTTGTTAAACCACTGTATTTTGTAGCATCTGAGTTGTGGGTTATATGTATAGATCTATGATCCCACTGCAATTACTCCTAGGATGTTGGAAATGTAAAAAGGTGTTAGGAGCCCCATCAAAATTTGTTGAAGAAAATAGAAACATAGTGCATCAGAACCAAGTTTTTGTACATTAACTGATGTGCTTGTTGGTACCTGCTGAAAAGTCCAGTTGATATTGAAATTACCTGAGAACAAACCAATCATGATAGAGAAGTGAGAACAGAAGCTTCCAAAATTTACAAGATCAAATGGAAATAAGGCAGTAACCTGAAATGTAATTCTAATTGAACCTATATTTAAGCAATAAAAATCCCTTAACTTGATGATTTTATAAGAACAACTCAATTGAGAACTGAAAAAAGGTCTCATTGAATTAGAAAAGACTTGGATAGACTTTGTCTTGAAAAACTCCTTTCTCTTAAAGCAATAAACTTGCTTTTGAAACTGAGAATGTAGTTATAGATTGCAAACTAATGAATGGTCTTTCACTTTTTTTTTGGTTTTTTGGGTTTTTTTCAGTTTTGGAATCCTGTGCTGGGAGAGCCTCAGCAGACAGAAACCCTTTGAAGGTATTTATTTTTCATGTCAGACTTTGTGCTGTCCACAAATTCCCTTATTGTAGTGAAATTTTGATGAAAACACTATCTTTTCAGATGTCCCTTTGCCTTCTCTTACAGTTACAGCACAAAGCTCCACATTAGAGGATGTAAATTTTACAATTCCTCACTAAATCCTGTATGTTTCCAAAGAAGCTGCTCTTTCTGAAGGGAAAAGGCAGAGCTTCTTCCCCCACTAGTATCATCAATCTGTGCTTGCTGAAGCACTGCCACTGAGTTGGGTTTGCCATGGACCATCAGTGAGAAGGAATATCACTTCATACTTGTCAGCTGGAATTTTAAAATCAGTGACAAGTTGCTAATTGAATGAGCATAATACTCATTTTTACAGTTGCTGTGAGTTTCAAATACCAATCCAGAAATATCAGTTCATGACAAATTATCTCAAGGAAGCAGGGAATCTTACTTTCTTAGATGAAAGTGTGAGCAGTTTTAGAGAATTTAGTTTGCAAAGCATCATATAATAATTGTCACTGTCTAGGATCAATCCCTGTTTCATGGAAGTGGAGATCAGTAAGGGCTTCTTTGCTATGGGCTTCATTCTTCATGGCAAAACTGATTGAAGGACTCCTGCATTTTACTGAGGACCTTCAAAAAATACTGCATGGAATAACATCCAGATACCCATACAGCTTATGGCTGCCATCTTGAGGCTGCTCAAAGTAGATTTCTTTTTTTAACAGTTATTTTGTTCTGTTCTTGTAATGCAAGTGTAAGACTTTATATAAAACTCTGCTTACAATAATAGCATGTATTCGTGAGGAATCTGTGCATGTAGTTTACAGTAAATGTTTACATAACCATTTGTGACTCAATATTGGACAGAGTTCTTCATCCTGAAAGATGAAGTCCTGTTGCAATAAGCAGCTATAGCTAATGTTAAAGGCTAGCACATCTACTTCCAAGAGCATTAATATATTTTTCCTTTGAAAAAAGCAGTCTCTGTTTTAAAATACACAATATGACTTACATTGAATGTCATTTTAAGAGGTCTTTAATATTTTTTGGCAGTGATATTTTCTTTACATTGCAGGTCAAGGAACCCTGCTTGATGTTTTGAGAGGAATCTGCAGCAGTTTGCGGCCAGGCATTTCAGAAAAGTTCATACCAAGCAATTTGCCTGAGAGGAACAGACTGCTGCACCTCATTGCTCTGTGCTGGCATCAAGAACCAGATTATAGACCACACACTGCAGGTAACATTCAGGATTTCCTTCTGTGCAAGGTCTGTAATGGAGACAGTCTTTGTAGGAACATTGCTTTAGCACTCCGAACAACTGAAGTGGAAATGGTCTTTAGATCATCTTTGATATTTCCTCTAACTGAAGCTTCCTACCAGAAATTGACTTATTTTTCTCCAAAATTTTGTTTACTATAAAGTAAAGTATGAGGTGGAAGTTGTATTAAACTAATTTCCTCTATTTCATCCATATTCTCAATATAATAGTAAAGTTAGTTGCAATATGATGATGCCTAAGTGTATACATGCTTTCATACACAATGTGGTATTTAAAATGCTTTATTACCCTTGCAGAATGTGTACACCTTCTAAATGGAGTTTTGGCTATTATAAATAAGGAGGCAATTTCTGCAGCAATCTACAGTTTGATGGATGCAAAGGTCAGTGCAGAATTTCTTGTTCTCCTACAACATTATTCATTCAATTGCAATCTTTCTGACCCAAAACCAGTGAAGGTTTTGTCTTGATTGTTTTACTGGTCATGCCAGAGAGCTGGAGAGTTCCCTTTGGCACTTCAGGTTCATTCAGAAATTGTAGAATATATATTGTGAGGTTCTCTAGAATATTAGTCAATTGCTACCTGCTATTTGAAAAATACAATTCTTTCTAGTCACCACCTGGAGTCAGACTTGCAAACCCATGTGAGTGAGAGCAAACATCAGCTCAAGTACTGCAGATTAGGACTAGAACCAAGGACAGTTTTTTTCTATTACTGGTTAGAAAGCATTTAGTTCGAAACCTGAACAGCATTGGTACCTGGAGCAATATCAGTAACAGCACTGCTCTGCACCCTTCACTGCTTCTAAACTACCAGGCTTTCAGGCCCTGCTCATCCCAGGGTCTCAGGGCTCTCTAATTCCACAGGAGGGGATGGGGAACAACCAAGGACTGAGAGATGGAGGTAACTCCACATCTGCTTACACTGCCATGGGAGCTCTGGCACAAATGGGACTGCCACAAGCAGAGCTGCATCCTAACTGGGTAACATAGGCTCTGGGGGAAAACACTGACATGTCTTTTGGCTCTTGGACAAGGACTCTGACTCTAGGTGGACTTACACAACCCATGCTGTGTTGATGGTTTCATTGCTGTGTGTTGTGTATGTTGATGCATGCAGGACTATTTCTATATGTTGCAATCATGTTCTGGGCTTATAGAACAGCCTTGGTCAATGTTTTAAAGGTGGCATAGTTAGAGTCAAAGTAATTTTTACTACTGTTGAAGTTTATTTAAGATTGTACTGCCAAATACTCCATGATTTAATGCTTCAATCTCCCTTGAGCAAGGTTTTATTTTTGTTAGATTGTGACGATTTATTTTATTAGTGAGCATCATTTATTGCTCAAACAACTCAACTGATAAGTCCAAAATTACTCTGAAAATTATACTGAAGTTTCTGGGAAATTGATTCACAACTGTTGAAGAATAAAATCTAAAAAAATAGTTTAACAGATCTGCTGTGGATGTACAAATTGGAAAAAAAGTTTCAAGTATTGACACATCCTTACTGCAGACAGTTTGGCACACTGAACACAGGATGGCCATGCTGTTTGGCTGCTTAAAGACAAACGTGTTCTAGCTAGCCCAGTCTGTCTCAATACAAGATTATGATTCAACACTGGGTTTTAAATAAATGTGAAACACTGGAAAGAATAACAGGATAGAATTTTGTCAGATTCCATGCCCGTTCACTGTGTGCTGTTCATTGAGTGTACCTAGCAGTACAATACATGTTTGCTATGAACTGTTACTCCTGACAGCTGTGAATAGCACAAACCACATCCACACTCACTGCAGTTACTGTGGCTTTCTTCTTCCAGGAGAGAGCGCTGAACGCATGCAAAGGCTCCGAGACCTTCACCCTGCAGAGAGGCACCTGCAATTCACAGGTGAGTTTGGGGCACAGGAGGCTCCAGAGTATTTCATCAGCTCCTCATTCCTCCTGACAGCCCTGACACTGTGCAATGCACTTGAGCAAAATGTTCCTGGCCAGGGTAACTCCATCCAACAAACGCCAGTGCTTTACCTTGTTCTGAGCAGCTCACTCTGACATTGCTCCTGCAGAAACAACCTCCTTCTCTTAGGGTTCGTTTTGAACCTCTCCTGTTTAGAAAAGGTTTTGGAACAAAAGTTGCCAAGAAGATAACTCTTCTCTATTTTGATCTCTTTCAGATCATCTGTCCACAAAAAGGCAACCGCTTAATCAGCAAGAAAATTCCTCTTGCAGTGCCAAGCTTATCAACTGTTCTACCTGATAGCAGTGCAAATACAGCAGGAAGAGATAATATTGAGATTGGTGTGTCAAGTATTACCCCACAGAATGCAACCAAAGGTCACTGTCTTGAATTATATTCAGCTCCAGCTGTTACAAGAAAAAGACAAATATTACTAGTATACAGAAATGTCATTTTTCATGTAAAATTGTCACTTCTTAAAGCTGTGCTCTCTACTGGTATCATCTGAAGCATGAGTTCACTGCAGGAAACCAGAGACACCACAAAGCTTTCCACTTAGATGTATAGATTAAAAAAAAAAAGTACTAATTTTTTTTTACTACTGGGCTGTAAATGCCTTTCTCTCACACATCAAATATTGCCTGTTGCTTTTGAGAGAACAAGTCCTTTCTGGGAATCACATTGCTTTGTGCCACCAGGAATAACTACATTTTTGTAATCTGCTAAGAAATGGAGATATCTTTAAAATCTTTATCTTATCTGGAGATATTTTTAAAAAGGCAATGTTGCCAGGAACATATGAATAATTCCTGATAATCACTGTTCCAATATGGATAACTTTCTTTACCTTTCCAATGTGGATTTGTCCTGTTTAAATTTGTGTCAAGAATAGACAGCCTGTATTTCTCATGCCCTCAGGTACAAAAACATCAGAAGTCAATTCACCCGTAGCAACATCTGCATTTCCAAGCACTTCAGGTGTGATCAATAGCCATCAGACTTATGGACAGAATAAAATGTTCCATAACTTCAATAACAAGTTCCTACAGAGAGAAAAGCCAGATGTGTGTAGTAATAAATGACAAAGTTTTTTTTATAATGATGTATTAACAAGAGCCAAAGTAATCTCGAGTCAGTCTTCAGTTCCTGTGTCCTGTAGTGGCTGACATATGCGTAATTTCTTGTTGTTCAATTCAAAGGTCTAATCATGCTCATCTTCACCTTTTTCTAGATCACCTAGGCTCTGAGAGAAGAAAACCAAGCTCCTTTTGCACAAATCCTTCATCTACTTCAACTGCAGGCAAAGAAAGCAGTCAGCATAACTCCCCAGCAGTGGCTCTTCAGCACAGACCACAACCAATGCACCTGGGACAAGCAGTGACAGGTAAGGCAGCATTGCCACTTTGAGCTGGCAGTACTCACCTTGGCCAGATCTCAGTGATTGAATTGTTTAAAACTCAGAGGAAACATTGGAGAAACATTTAGATATTTCTAGATTTTGTGCACATTTTCAGGTATTCAGGGTAATAACTGATTCTAACTTGATACAAATGTCTCTCTATTTGTGTACAGCTGCTCCTCTGTTCTCAGAAGTTCAGGCACTGATCACTGAGAACATTGGCTTGTTTTATTTTAGGACCACAGTGAGGCTGAGAACGGTTCTGAAAAGACCATGATAAAAATACAAAAAACACATTAATATGAAATACATTAGTTGTTTAGGTCTGGATTATTCTTTTGCAATCATAAGCTGTGTATTGCCTACCTCTGCAAAAGTAGCTATTGACTACAGAAACAGGTGACAGGGAACCCTTCATCCCCTCACATCATCTCAGGTCTTCCTGCAGAACAGAGGCAGAAAGGGTCGGGTTTTGAATTGCGAAGATTCTTTGCCTGTGGGTGAGGCTTTGTGAGGTTTTTATGCTAACTTTTTGCAAACTGGCCTATAACAATTCTCAACCTAGCTGGCTGTCCTTCTCCATGGCAATTTACTTGAGTGATGACATAATTTCTGGATAAATCAACAGACTAGACCATGCAGGGAAAGTTCATCACAGAACTCTCCTGCCAACACTCAGAAATCAGAATGACAGAAGCATGCTCTCCAAGGCAACACAACTTTTGGTTCTTAATTTTTTCTCGGTGTATGCTATTTACTGTACACTAAAAACCCTAATGTCAGCACTAGGTATTCTAATCACCCCATGAAAAGAGGCAGGACCCAAAGCTCTCAACCATTTTATCAAGAGTATTGCTTTTGGTATTAGTTTGGCTTTTACCTAGTTTGGCTTTTTCCTAGTTTCACATTATGTGTTTCAAACTCTCCTGCTACCCTGAAGTACCTGTTACCTGTCCTTCCACCTTTATAGGAGAAAGTTTTCTCATCTGTGTCCTGCCAAGGTGCTTTGCATAAAGTTAAACACAGATGAATAGGGCACGACCTGAAAGTCTTCTCCCCTCACACAATCTGAGCACCCAGAGGTTTAGAAACACTTATTTCCTGTAATCTGGTCTTTGTGGGTTTCAAACATGAGATGAAAATACTTTTGGACTAGTTGCAAACATAGACTGCAAGCAAACTAACTCCTCCTCCTTCCTTCTTCTACTTCCTCCTCTTCCTCCTCGGCTGAGTTTGTATTTCTGGTGTCGATGCTATCACTCGCTGACAATTTCGGTATGAAAAAACCACTTGGTTTATCTCATTTTGTTTTCCTTTTCGCTCAAGGTCCTTGCAGCAAAGGCAGCTGCTGTCAAATCCTTGCCTGCCGGAGGCAGAGCATCCTGAGCTGCATGACAGAAGGGCTGCTGAACCACGCGCTGGACGCACTGCGCTCGCAGCAGGCCCTGTCCCGCGTGGACTACGAGAGCATCAGTGCCCAGCCCACGGTGACCGCGCGCGCCCGCGCCCTGCTGGACACCTGCCTCTGCCTCGGGGAGAGGGCAGCACAGGCTGCACTCTCTGCACTGGCAGTGAACAGATCCAGTCCTCTGGGACAAGTCATTCACGCCCAGGCTGTCCTGCCAAGGTAAACAGGCTGTTGTTGTGACTGGTTTTTTGTCGTGGTCTGCTGTAGGCATCTGAGCTCTAGTAATTTGTGATGGCAAAGATTCACGTTGGTGTCTCACAACCCATGGACCAAAGGCAATTCTTCCTACAGCTCATTATTTGAGTACTGTAGAGGAAAAAGCTAACTGGATTAAAAGGTCAAGTCAACTGCTGCCAACAGAAATTGCCAAGAATGGTACAACAAATGCTGATTTGGACCTCATGGGAAAAGTGCAATATGTGCCAGAGCAAACAGAGTTCAAGTGAGATGGCACCTTATTTCCTTGATTTTTTTTTCCTTAGAAGGGAGGAAAATGAAACATGATTTTTTGGAGGTCACAGTATGGAAGAATGATTATTTATAAATACTTCCAAATAAAAATAATGAATAACAGAATACTGGATGAGGAGAAAAAAATAGACTGCCTTTCACTGCACTCATATCTGAGCCAGCTGTTACAGTGAAAGGCTTCAGAGAATCAAGAAATATTTCTTCAGTAGAGCCTTAAGTAAGACTTGGAAGTTTTATATTATGCATATAAATTACTTAATTTTCCTCACAAATGGTCATATGAAAATGTAGCAGTATTTACATATGTACTTCAGAGATGTGGGACTTGGAGTACTCATTAAATGGAGAAATGTTAACACTTTACATCCCTGTATCTCTCTAATCATGTCTGCAGCACAAATGTAAAATTAAACCAGGAAGAAGAGGTGCCTGGTTTAATCAAAAGCTGATCATTTTGAATGGTGGTTCTGCTGAACTGTTGTCATGGTTGTGCTCTAATGGGGACAGGCTGGGAACACTGAGAGGTTTTGTAGCTCTGGCCCCCGTGGTCACAGATGCTTTGGAGTGTCCTGCTGCTGCCTGAACTCATCCTCAGGTCATGGACCCTTTGACTTGAGTTCACATGGAGTTCCAGTCTGTCCAGAAACATTGCTGTTATCAGAATGTTCCCAGGCACAGCGGAGGAAGATGATAAGTGGTACAGCAGGCAGTGAAAACAACAGCCCAGCTACTAACAAGCACCAGACTCATGTACAGAAGGCAAACAAGTCCCGTGGCAAGCACAGGAGTCCGTCCAGAGATCAACAGCAACAGCAGCTACAAATGTGATCCAGCACATTCCAGTAAAATCAGTTGTTACCTTGAACCCCTCAAGCTTGCGCTGGATGTTGAAAAGAACATTTGTCCCAACAGACAACTATGCCACACAACAGTAAAGTGAGAAAACGTGTTCGTTGAGAGCCAGACAATTTATCAGGTAAAGCAAAAGCTGCATACAAGCAAAGGAAAATGTGGAATTAATTCACCATTTGCCAAGGGCAGGTGTCCAGCCATCTCCAGGAAACCATGTAATGGTTACTTCAGAAGACAAATGCCTTCACTCCAAACATCCTCCCCATCCTCCTCCCCTAGCTGAGCTTGATGCCACATGGTCTGGAGCATCCCTCTGGCCAGCTGTGGTCAGTTGTCCCAGCTCATCCTCCCCCAGCCTCCTCCCTGGTGGGGTGAGGGGCAGGAAGGCCTTGGCTCTGTGTGAGCTCTGCCCAGCAATAACAAAATTTCCCTGAATTGTCAACACTGTTTTCAGTACAAATTCAAAATACAGCCCCATACTGGCTCCTATGGAGAAAATTAACTCCATCCCAGCAAAAACCAGCATTGGAAAGAGAAATAATAAGATTACTTTCTTTATAATGAAAATAATGATGTATTTTTAAAGGCCCAGTGAGGTTTCTTCAAGCTTCATGGCACCAGATTAACATGAGAACTTGTTATACCATCTACAGGTACTTAAAATACAAAACCACATTATTTGTTTCCCTATGTTGCTTTTGTTCTCTCTGCAGTTTCAAATTTCTCATTGAATTCAGTCATTTGGCTGATTGCAAATCCAGTAATGATGTGTTGACTGGGCACAGTTAAGAAATAAGAAATGTTTGACATCAAAGTTTCCAGCTATGATGCTGCTGCAACCATAAACTTTTTTTTTTAATACATAACTTCATTGAACTTTGAGATTGCCTTGAATTAAAATATTGTTACAGTTAAAAGCAATGTCTATCAGAATATTTTGACAATAGTTTTGCTTATTAAAGGAGCTAAATATCTTTCACAGTTGAATTTTTTTCATTAAAATCTACACTTTAAATGGGAAATTTCAACAGTCTGCTAAAAAAGGATGTCTTGCTTGTGAGGAAAGGAACTGCTGTCATGGTGTTTTGCCTCTTTAGAAGGCATATAAGATACTCCATAAAACAGATAAACATTCACCTGCAGGAAATAGTTACGGACCTTTAAAAGAGAAACTAGCAATAGTGTTGAAACTTAATAGCAGCTTTCAAAATCATTCCATTTAGTTGTTCTGCTGGACACTTTACACTCCTGTGAAAGATATGCTGGCTGGCAGGCTATGCTGAATTTTTGTCATTGTGGTTTGGACACAGAAATGGTTTTGGCTCTTTTCTAGAAGCAGCTGCCTACTTGAGAATAAAATCTGATGCCAAACCTAAGCCCAGTCTTAACTGTTGATAGAAGAACTGGCATCAAAACAGTGGGAGCACAAGCTGTTTGCTTTTCCAGTGTGGTATTTTTCAAGGGATGGTACACATTTGTTGAAATGAACCTGTTGTTGATACAAAAAGTTTTGCTACCAAACTAAATGCAGTGACCTGAAACTAGCAGCATTTTTTCTCACCAAAAAAAAACATACTCTCATAAGGCCTGTAGTGTGAGCTGTTACAAATGTCTCATGTTGATCACTGGTATGAAATATCAAACTGCTGAAAGCTTGTGGTATTTTGCTCCTGCCCAAGCTTGTTCATTAGCTGAGATCTCTGTGGTCCTCACGTCTTGTTTTCTCCTTACCTTGATATTATGAAACAATGTAGAATAAATGACACTGAGCAGGAGTAAAGATAGAAGAATCAAACTGTTCTTTGTGAAGAACAACTGGAGTTGCAGGAAGGAAATCTGAAACCTGGGTATCTCTAGAAAACAGCAAGGAGAATAATAAAACCAAGTCACTTCAGGACTGGTCATATAAACTGATGGTAAGATTCTGTTGCAGTTACTCAGAAAAGAATTAATAGTCATTAAAAATGACAAGCTGTACAAATTTTATGAAGCTATTTAAATTTATTAAAGGCAGATGTTTATTTTTCTGATGTATTGAAATGTAATTTTATTCTTGATTGCAACTGCTTGCAATCTTTTGGTAGCTATCTTTTGCTGATTTGCAAAAAGATGAGTGTCCCTTGCCCTTTGTCCTAACTATACCATATTTTTATCTGAGATGAGATAGTTTCTGCAGTGTAAGAATGTCTGCAGCAGAATTTGTTTGAAGTTGATTTGTGGAAAATTAATCAGAGTTGCTGGAATGAAATGTTTAACTGATTAGTCCTTCCAGTAGAGAGCAAGGCAAACAAAGCTATAAATACTACTCAAATGTTCTTACCAGTGCCTGTTAAAAACAGCTCCAGAGAACATCAGAGGAAGATAACAAGTGCATATTCATAAAATACTAATCTACCAAATTAAAAAAAATGCATTAATGGACTGCTAACATATACAGAAGAATTTTACACCACATAAGTAGTCTAAAATGCATAAAACCTAAAGCACTAAGGAAAACATGCTAAAGCTCAAGGGTTCTTATTTTATTGTTTTAAGTCTGAGTCCTACATAACCTTATAAAATTCTCCTGCTTGCCCAGGCTTAGTCACTTGAGCATCACATGTGAAGATTTTTAAGGAAGATTAAGTGCATAAATAAATACGTATGGGCCTGGTATGTTAGGGAAGGACCTAAAGATCATCAAGACAGGTATAGGAAATTTAGATTTCTTTATTGCTATTTATTGATTTCAGAGCTATACAGCTATTAACTATGCTCTCCTCCAGTAATACATATTGTCTCCAGGATTGCTGGGGTCTTTTATGCCTCAGGAAATCTTGCCTTGGACTGTATTCCCTTTCATTCTTTTCCTGCACACAGCCTTGCCTGGCCCTCCCCCGCTTTGCAAAATACTTTCCTGGTGCTCAAAAGGCCCCAGCACAGTTTGATTTTGTTCCTTTTCTAGAGAAGCAATTCCTTCATTGCCTGCCTGGAACTGCATTCCCTTAACTGAGCACATGGTTGACTTGACAGATGGTATGTCAGCTGAGTTAAACAAAACTCCTGGATTTTGAAGGTAAATCCACCATAAATTAAACTACCTGACAAGGTCTGAAACGAACATATTTGATGATTTAATTAGGCAACATTAAATTCAGCACAGCTGCAAGAACATATTAATTGCAAGCATTTTGCTTAACCCCAGCAAAAAGGTAGATCAGAAGCTTAGAGAGTATTTCCAGCTCTTGTGCTGATACAATTTGTGATCAGTATTTTATTTCCTGCCTTTATTTCTCTTTGCCAAGAATACATGCCAAGTAATGTTATTGAAATCTGTAGCCTCAAACTGCCATTTTCCCTGGGCTTTAAGAATGACCTTTCTTCTCTCAGAGAAGACATGCATCAGTTAAAGAACTTCTCATCTTTCAACCAGGATGAATTAAGTGGCAGTAATTTAGAATAAGAACTTAGCCCTTAAAATGTGGTAACATGCTAAAGTATCTCAACACCTATTGTTAGGGACAAGCTGATAAAATTGTGTGTGTTTGGTCTAGCAAACAGGAGGTGAAGGGCACACAAAAGAGTCTGGAGCAGAGGCACTGAATATGCAGTGAGGAAAACCAGGGAATGGTTTGTTCTTGTGCTTTGTCAGTCTGGACTGGCTTTCAAGCAGGGGCTTAAAAAGGATTTAAAGGCCTTCATGAAGACAGGCTCCTTCCCCATACCCAGAGAAATTAGCAATATTCATGGAACTTTCTCTTACCTGATCAAGAGTTCTTTAGTTGACAAAATTCATGCAAACAACAGAGATTTACGAAACCTTTTCCCTCAGCCTGTTCAGTTTATTTATGCAAGCTATAAACATCTGAAGTGATTTAAGGGAAAAATTAACTTGTTTTTGCTTGGAGGTAAATAACATGGATATTTATAACTGCCTGTAACTCAATCACTATTCACTCCACTAACACCCACCTGTGAATGCATGGGTCTGTTATCAGGTCAGCTGTTGGGACAATGGAATAAAGATAACTTGAATTGAAGAGCCCTGGAGATTATTTCCACCCTTTACAGTGTTGTTATGAATTCTTAAAAGAAAAGAAGGGTCTTCTACGTTTTTTGCTTTGCAACAGATCATGGTTGGTCGTCTTCTCTCAAACACAATGAAAATGTTTCCATTTTTATTAAAATGCAATCTTTATCCAGCAAGATTTCTGTCCAGTCCATTAAATGTTTGCTGAGAGAGCTACTTCACATTCATGTATTTTCTTCCCTCTTTTCACATGAAACCACAGGAACATTAAAAAAGAACCCTTTATGACACACAATATCAAAATGCAAAGTAACAGAAAAAAATAGAAAATAGGTTGTTACTTGTGCTGAACGGGTATGAGCTCATAGAGAAATTCAGTTGTTTTTCTGATAGACTGCATGTCTTGGACAGGTTTTATTAAACACTGTGTGAGACTAAAAGATTTACAGCCAAAGAAATATTTCAGCTCAGGGAGGCTTTCTGCAAAACAAGGCATTGCTCTGCTCTCCTCCCTTCTGCTCTGACTCCTGCAGAGCTGGTTCAAATGCAGTCTGGCAACTCTGGCTAAAACCTTTTCTCTCCACTGCAATCGATCATATACTGGTATTCAAACCTGCAGATTTATTTGTTTACAGAAAACTCTCCCTTTCATAGAGAATTCATGACATGAACAAGAGAGGAGAGATTTGGATGCTGGTTTATATTATGTCTTTCAAAACTCAAGTTACATTTAATTTTCTGTAAGATATATAATAGCATTTTAACTCCTCAGCAGTTGCATTTAGATGTGTTTAGTAAGAATGTTTTCCTGTATTCCATTTACTAGCACATCAATATAGCAATTTAATGAATTCTTAAAATCAGAGAAGCATTTAGATTGAAAAGACCTTTAAGATCACTGAGTAACACTGCCAAGTCCACTGCATTCTTAGGTGGTCTGAGACTATTTATTTTGGTTTAAATCTTATGGTAACTGTCAGCTTCTTCACCCAAATTAGACCCCATCAGTGAAAGCTGTCATTTCTTGTTCAATGTTCTTTATGTCCATCTTCAGTAGCAAGAGAAGGAGGACCCAGCCTGTGGCCATGCCTCTCCTGCTTGTAACAGTGCCAAGAATCGTCCCAGTCACTGTTTACAGACACAGCTGCAGAGGGAAAGGTGCACTCAGCATTTGAGACTTCAAGATATGCTTGGGCATGTAGACAGGATTATTCTTGTTTGTTTTTGCAGCAGGCTATTTAATCACAGGTGTTTTTCTTGGACAAAGGAAGACTTTTTAAGGAACAAAATAAAAGGCAGTTATCAGGATTTCACAGCTGTAATTTTACTGTATGCTATACATTGGATTTAACTCCAACATGCAGTTTAGCTGCCTCCTAATTGTTTCAGTACAACCACCTAATCTGAACCTTTGGGTTTTGTTTAATGACACAGCCTCATAGTTATCTACAATGTATGTCATTCTATCATAGAATAATACAAAATAACAATTTCCCCAATGATACAACACTTCAGTAATAAAATTTGTCCTTTGTAGTAAGGACAAATACAGAGCTGTTTATGGAGTGTGACACTGAACACCCTACATGGCCAAGTGACCAATGTGTGGGGTGAGGACACTTGCAGGACTCCAGCCATAAGGTTTGTCACAGGAGATGACACTGGTGACACATCTTAACAAATAACTTGGCCATCTCCTATAGTTTCCACTTAAGTTGAGGTGTTCCACATTTTCCCATAGTAGTGACACTGAGGTAAAAATAACTCCCTGACCTCCAGAGTGTAATGTGACACATGAGGTTTAGTTTCCTTTATCCTCCTGCCTAAGCTCTAACAGTAAAGCCCAAGTGTTTGCTCTCACTTCACTTAGTCTTCCAGACTCATGTAAAAGTAAAGACTAAAATTTCACCAATGTCACCAATAAGTGATCATGTGTCATTAAATCAACGTTACTGGTATTCAGAATGTTCATAGCCTGTGGGATTTTAGCTGAGAAAAAAAAAGTACTAAAAAGTCTAGCAGTAAACTTCAACAAAAGCCCTTTCTTCTGGAACTAAAGTATACCTGTAAGTGTCTGAAGCACAGCTTTCAGTGTTTTCAAAAGTTTGATTTATGGCACTTCACAGTATGTGACTGGGAATCTGAAAAGGCTTTTCATAGTTCTGGGGATCTTGCATAACTTGAGAAACTCTTGGTAGCTCTTAATTAGTCCACTATGATTTGCTCTGTGGGACACTGTACACACCAAGTAATCAAGAGCCAAGTGGGGAACAAAGGAGCAAAGTGCAAAACACTCACAAATAGCCTGCTGAGAAATGATTTCTGAAAAGTTAGCAAAGTCAACCATAATTTTAGTTTTAGGGCTGGATGCCTTCTAATAATAGCAAAGAATGGATTTGAAATTGGAAAAACTATGCTGGCAGACAAAAGACTAATAAACCCATTAATAGAGCTGTCCTATTTACTGCAAAGGCAAATGGACTGGCAATAAATCCCTACTCTTAAAGGTTCTTTTAGCACTAAGATATTATACCTCTCAGTTCTTAAGGTGTACTTTTAAATAGTGAGACATTCTGAAAATCTTGCTCATGGGACATGGAGTTCTTTGGGCAAGAACTTGAGTGAAAACTTCAAAGGTATTCTGATTTTATTTTGTGAAACAACATGGTCTTCTTTCTTTTACAAAGCTTGCTAATTAGAACTTATTTGTCACTCTTACCACATGTACAAACTAGACTGTTTCCCTTAGAGGCAAAATGTATGAGATCAACATGCATTGGCATATTTGGTTAGCACACACTGTGCAGAAGAGAAAGGTCTTTGAGATTATTTTTTGGAAAACTTTACTTTTGGATCAAATACAACTACAGAATCCCCCAGAAGTCTGAAATTTTAGGGAATAAAGGTTGCCCTTACTTCTGTTCGTCCAACAACTGTTCCTACATGGTAAAGTATTGTGTTATTATAAGGTCTCTAAATAAAATAGCAGAGAACTTTTATTAAAGGTCCAAATTTATTTGTATTGTACAAACATTTCAGGGTAATTCAGTAATTAAGAGAAAAGTAACAGGAGTGCACTACAAGCAAAGGTGGAAGAGTGGATCAGCACTGACGGGGTTGTACTGTAATATTCTGCATTCAAAATGGCTCTGCTAAGGAACATCTGGTTGTATTTAAATGGCAAAGTTTGGACTCAGCATGATAATACAAACAAAATGATGACATTGGCTTCAGCCTTTAGTAACCAGCTGCTTGCAAGCAGAGTGTCAATGCAACTACTGCTGAGTAGGATCAGAATCTCAGAATACTCCTGCTTTTAATCAGAGAGAGAGACAGGTACCACAAGTATATCAACAAAGGACTGACAATAATACAGGGTAACCTATAACAGAGAGGAACTTGGCTGTTTTGAAGAAAGTCTGAGCAGTTGCATTCGAAGGCCAGTTACTTAACCCAACCCAACAGATGTCTTTAAACTGTCTCATCCAGAAGAAATTTATTTAAATGCTGTTGAACTCGGTTACAAACATTATAACTAAGGACTTCATATTCTTCAATCATAGTACCCACATGCTAATTTGGGACCTGAAACAAGAAAAAAATACTTATCCTTAAGATGATATTTTTTACAGCTACAAACCCTCATTAGTTTGTTTTTATACATAATTACTTTTAACAGCCTTCAAATTAGACATGGACAAAGAGCATTATCTTAAAAAATCCCTGCAGTGTTATAAGACTTGTGAAACAATGATTCTGACTCCCATGTCATTTTCCAGGAAAACAAAGACTGTGATTCATTCATTCTCATTAGTAAATAGCCAGATGCTCATGAAGTAATTCAACATAGATAAGACAATTTGTATAATCAAAGGGTAGGGTCTCAAAGCTGAATGATTTCATTGTCTAAAACATTAAACACAAACCATCTGTTTTAAAACAAGTATTATATACAAGGAACTATTTTTCCAAATAAACTCCCAAAATTGACTGGTAAAAATTTTATGTACTGCTCATTCCCCTTTTAATAGAGAAGATTAAGAGAAATGTAAAATTAAAATACAATGTTTGTGGCATTAATCAAATTAGTGATAAAAAACTCCCAGGGACCTTTGAAGTTTACCTGAAGATGGGCATATCTATGCTGGTGGTTTTTTGCCCTCCTAACAAAGTTAACATTTGAAAACTTGTCCATGTTTTAGAAGACATCTATTCCCACTTCTGCATTGCAGCATGGACAGCACTGAACAAAACCAGCTTGCAATAATGTGCAACAAAGATATGTGTAAGCAAATAATAAACTTTGGTGAGAGTAGATAAGGCAGTGAAAAGAAAAAGGCACCTGAAAGGCAACAGAACCAGATAGGACAAATAAAATTAAGAGATGGGATGTCAAAGCTCATTTTACAATCTGTTTTTAAAAACTTTAGTATATAGAAGCTAAGTTTTCCATAAAAGAAGGACTAATGTTGATCTTCAGAGTATTAAATGACTGCAGTTGGAAAAGACAGAGACACCCCACAGTTTCTGTCCCTTAAAGGGATATTTTCTACTACCTCCTCCTCTGCTCCTAGCTTATTCCATGTTTGTATTTCTGTGATTTTGATAGTAAAAAACCAGCCTTCATAAAGGTATTGTTTTCTGCCAGCTTAGTGAGCAGAACTGCCTTACAGAGGGGGCTGGGCAAGTGCGAGCACCAGTCAAATGCTAAAGGCTGGAGTAGGAGGAGACATGGAGCTAGGAGCAGGGGAAGGTAAATATAGAAAGCTAAATTTAGACCTTCTCCTTTAATTGCATAGCACTTTGGTGCTTATAGTCCCTCTCATCTGTAAGTCACACCTACCCTGCTTAAACCACTTCCTGCAGAAATTTGTATGATAGAAAGATGAAGGTAAAAACAAAGGGCAAAGGATCAGTGAATTTGTTTTTGTAAACAAAGTCACTCAGCTTTAACCAAAGAAAAGAAGCAGGTGCACTAACATTTGTTTTTGAACTGATTCTGTTTCCTGAAATACATGGTTGATACTGTGTTTGTTGTTTGAAATTATTAAGGTTGAAAAACTAACGAAAAATAATGTTTGCTTGTAAGTGTTTATAAAAATTGTCATTTGCTGGGATCTGGCTAAACTTCCAGATTTACTGTCCTGAATAATTTCATGACCCCTGTGAATAACTCCTGTGTCAACAGAATGTACATCTCAAAACAAACATCGAAGTGGTGTAGGACTCACTCTATATGGTAGAATTTCTAAAGGAACCAGCACAAGCCACCAAACACATGGCTGGGAGCAATATTTCCATCATAAGCTGCAAGCTGCAATGAGTAGTGCTTACATTTACACAGCACCCCTTCAGTGCTGACCCTTAAGGAGCTCAGTGCACTCTCATTCCATTAATTAAGTGCATAAGCAACACATTCTTGGGGGACTTATGTTGTGAGGATATGCTTAAACTCACCAGAATGACCTTGTGAACAAGCACAAAGCTGATGTGTAAGGTTTCAAATTCACTCAGATTTAATAGCAATTTTTACCTTGGTTTTGCTTCATGTTCTAAACCCATTCAATGAATATTGTGTGGATTTGGTTTCCCATAATCTGATGCTATTTCAGTTTGGTTTGTTCAGGGGCATTTAATCAGTTTATTCTTCAAGCTTTTTGAGTTGAATTACATTTTCTAAGATGTATCTAGTGGCAGTATTAGTCAGACACGAAAAAGGAGATAGGGCAAAACTCAGACTTAACCAAACTCAGTCTGACTTTGTTCTCATTAGCTGCAGGAGATAAGATCTTAAATTGATTAAATAGTATCAGATAAAACCCTAGTGGAAACAAAATCTTTTTTAGCTGTTTTTTGTCAGCTAGCACTTAGAGAATACACACTCCAGTATAAACACAACTTACCAGTGGCCATTTATGGAGCATCAGGGAAGAGCCACACAATTTATGTAATCTGTAACAAGAGAAGAAATAAAAGAGTCCTGACTTACATTTCGCTTCCATAGTAAAATGGAAAAAGTAATTTATAAAATATGAGCCTTACCAAAAGGAACAAAAATATCTATCTGGATGATTATTCTGAGGTTTGCTTCTGCTCACATACAAACATTTCAGAAGCACTGTCTAGCCTAATGATGCTGTCCTAACTTGGATCTCTCATACCAACCTCTACAGTGTTTTAAGTTCTCACACTTCAGGTGGTGAACTTCTATTTTGAAACCCCCAAATGGGCACTTTTTGTAATAAATATTTTTCAAAGTTCTAAGGTAAAATGTCATTCTCTATACTTCCAGTATATGCCTAATAATTTATTTCCTATGCCTTGTCAGTTGTCATGTATTTCTTGTTTCTAAAAGCAATTTTATAATTAGTTCACATTTTATGAGTCCATTTTTTTTGAGGAGTCAATGCTGTCTACAGTAGATTCAATCATGGGAGAGCTTCAAATGCAGCCTACCAACAACTGAAATCAGCTGCATCTTTTACATTCACACTCAATCCACCTTTTGATTAACGTGTGGGACTGTTGCAAACACCCATCTACCTGAAAATCCTGCACTACAGAACACAGGGCACCAGCACATTTGTAAATCACTTAGCATTATTACCATCTAATGTCTGCTTTCTGGTACGTGTTATCTTTGTAACAACAATCAGTTTCATATTGTAAGGATTTGATTATATTCTGGGGATGTCATCTATGTTTTTATCTTCTATCAGTGCTGTAGAAGTGGCTTAAAAACAAAGAAGTCGCCTATCAGGGCTGTTAAGCTCCCAGAAGACAGCAGACTGGTTCTGTTTGTTGCTTTGCAACACTGTCAGTAGCTTCAGCAGGTAATAGATTTAGAATAGTTTGTATTTGACAAAAGCCAAACAAAGAGTTGAGACAAACATAATTAAAGAGCTGAGAAGATCAGGCTCCTGCAAATGAGAGTTTGTTTTGCTATGGTGCTTTATAGTTTAGAAGTAAAGTCTAATGGTATTATCTTCTTTGTGTGCAATTAAAAAGCCAACTTTTAACAAAAAAAAAACCAAAAAACAACAAACCAAACCAAAACCAACTTTCTTAATTCATTTTTATCCAAACACAGTGTAATGAATATCGGGAGATCTAGATGAGTGCAGCAGTTGCTTGGTAGCCTGATTGTCTCTGTGACAATGAAGGAAAACAACTCCTTGATAAAACACATAAACTTTGAGAGAAGAAGCAGAATGGAAATCAGAAACATAAGCCTTGTGGCAATAAAATTGGACTCCACTATTGCATTTACTAGCACATTTATGGGTATGACAGTGAGTGCATCGTTTGCCTTTCCCTTTTCTTTTACAGCCTTTTAATTTTTATTTGCCCCCAAGATTTTTTACCCCCTTGAAAAACTTCTTGCCTTACTTATCTGTGTCAAATGATAGATAATAATTGTGGACTAGGGAAGGGAAAAGTAATTAAATTATTTAGAGTGAAACTACACTGACTCCTGAACCCTGTTGTCCTTCCGGGCACTGAACCATCCCTTTGCCTTGCACGGAGCAGTAAAAAGGCAATAAAAGAACATTCAGAGGGGGCTGCAGTCTGGGGTTCACTGGCTTAGACAGGGTGAAACTATCAATCTGCTAGTGGAAGACAAGAAAGCTTTCATTACACCCCAGATAAATCTGCTGAATAGCCAATTCCTTACTATTATAATCAGGGACCACGTGTCACTTTTAATCACGATTCTGGGAAGTCCATTACTATTTTAACAAAGCCAAATTCTGGGTGTAGTAGCTATGCCCCTCTTGGAGGCTGGAGCACACCAACGCTACCGTTCTATTTTCATTTCCGTATCCCCTATGACTGGCACAGGACCTACGGGTAGAAGCCCAAAATATCACCAGATTTTAGGGTTTCCACCCTCTCAGGCCCCTCAGTCTCAAGCCCGAGGGTCTTTCAGGAGGTGTGACTCATGTGGGTGTAACTTTGTGCGGCGGCCGCCGGGGCTCCACGAGAGCTCCGTGTCCCCGAGGCCCTCAGGGTGTGAGGGCAGACCCCGGCCCGGCTGGCAGTGCCGTACCGTCAGCGCTAGGGGTCCTCTCCATCCTGCCCCCGCGGGGAAGGGGGAGCCTGGTCTCCCGCTCCGGCTGCGGCGGGGGTGGCGATCGTGGCTCCCCTCACCCACCGGTAGCGGAGGGGCCGACGCGAACTCCGCGGGGCCGGGGGGAGCTCCGGCCCGGCAAACACTTCCCTGCGCACCAGCGGATGCCGCAGGGTCCCGCGTAACCCCCGCGGAGCCGGTGGGCGACTTGCGGCTTCTCCCTCGGGGGGACCATGCGGGAGGTAGCGGATTTCAGCCGGGGAAGGACGAGGAGGAGGCGGAGGCGGCGGCGGAGGCGGTGACGGAGGCGGCGGGGCCGGACCGCCAGGACGCCGTGGCTCTGATGCGTCCGTGGGGGGGCGGGGTGGAGGAGGGGCCGCCATCGCGTTTCGGGTGGCAACGGGCGGGGAGCATCCCAAGGGAGCTTCGCGGGAGCGTTTCCGGCGGGACGGCCCCGGTGAGGTTTTGGCTTCTTTCCCCTTTCCTTCGCCTCTCTTGACCTTGAGGGGAGGCGAGCAGGGAGCAGCCTCAATGCAGGGGCTGCGGCGGCAGCCCCTGCCATGCGGAGCATCTGGGGCGGCGGCTTTGGCGATCCGGGCTGCCGAAATGTGCGGTGGTAGCCATATGAATGCCGTGTGTGTTTCTGTATTGTCTTTAAGGGGCGCCCCGACTCTGACAGCACCCGCCTGAGGCGGGTGTCTGCAGCTACTTCCTTCCCGGGGCTGTGTGAACCTCGCTTTATTTATGAGGAAGAGGCTCACCACGGCTTGTGGGGAGCGGAGCGGCCTCCGAGAGTGGCGGTGACACCTCGGGAAGTGCCAGCCCTGCTGCAGGAGCCCTCGGGCCGGCGGCCACAGCCCCGGGGCCACGCTTATGGCGACTCGAGGGTGGCTTTGTCAAGCCACGTGTTCCCTTGGTGCCTTTGGTGGTGGGTGCAGAGAGCTAGCGCACCTTTTCCTGCTGACGTTTAGTAGTAATTTTGGTTGTTTTGTGTGTTTTTAAACGGACGGTATTAACTATAATCTGATCAGGTGCCACCTAAAGAGTACACATGGGTGTAGCGTGTGCCTTTTGGCGTTATTTTTCCTCCTTTGAAGAGGTTTCCACTTTTCTGCCCCAGCGTGAAACATAAGGTGAATTACTTTAACAAACTCTATGATTGTTCCTTCTGTCTTTACCTGGCGGTTATTGTATAAATTTCACCAGATGTTCTCTCACTGCAGCAGCCTCGTGCACTCCCAGCCTAAATCAAGACTGATCAAAGTCCCTGTTGTAAGCTTACTTCTGTTTTTTTCCTTGGAAATATGAAAATAATTAAAAACACGAAAAATATGAAAATATTACTTAACTACCATACTGATACACTATCAAGTGAAAAGACTGTCATAGTAACTTCTCTTTCATACTTTTTTGCATGATAAACATACCTTGTCCTTTTTTTTTTTTTTAAAGGATGTTACAACCAATTCTATTTGATCAAAAGTTTATTGGTATGGTTTCTTCTTTATTGTACTAAAGATGATGTGTTTGTATATGCAAGCACAAAATACTTGGTTGAACAAATCTTTACAGTGAGAATTGTTTTTGTTGCACGGGCTTCCTGTCTGTTAAGTGTACATATGGTAGGGCAGTGATTCTTCTCTCAGCAGAAAAAGAAAAACTTATCCTAGACAAACTCTAAGCCTTTCCCATGTAAGTGTTCAGACTGTGAGGTGCCTAAATATATACAGTGCAGTGAATAAGCGTTTGCTCTGTTGGAGCTTAACTCCCTGAAGACTTTGATGCTGTTTGCCTGTATAGAGCAATCTTGAATATTGCTCATGTGGCCAGTCATTGTGTTCAGAAATAGTCTTACATCTGGTACACGTGAACAGCCAGTGTAAAGCTGTGTTACTGTGGGAGTTGTTTTATGCAATCAAGAGCTGAGGAAGACAGTAGCAAGAGCACCAGAAATCTTTGCTAATGAGCAGGTATTGTATAAAAGCACAGCAAACACAGTAAGCTTTTAGCAGTTTGGTACTTCACCTTGGTCATGAAATCACTTGCAGGTTCATCCCAGGTCAAACAATCTGCTCAGTGGGAGAAAGGGGATCTTGGCAGATGGTTCCTCTTTCCCTCCCCTTAAAGGAGGGCCACCCTGTAATGCAGTATTAGTACATTGCTAATTGCATGTTAACCTTCATCAGCTCCTGTGGTACCTGGCTGCAGTGTGATAGGCCTCACCAGAAGATACATTTTTGGTGAAACAGTGAAGCGATCCTAGTTTCAAGTCACTGTGTCCTGGTTTCATACCATAGCTTTCTATACCAACAGCAGAGTCATTTCAGTTTAAAATAAAAAAAAAAATCTACATGTATCAGCAAAATGTTCCTCACAGCTGCAGTGATCAGCAAAAAAAAAGAGTTGAAGACACTGTGTTGCACATGGGTGAGGGATGAGGAAATCCGTGTTGGTTAGCTTGTGTGGAGGCAGAGCCCTGCATTAGCCATAGCACTCCTGTGGTCAGGCTTTGGCAGCATTAGAGATTGTTCTGAAAGTATTTTTAGCTGCTGTATATTAGGATTGTTGTATGTTAGAAAATGTATACCATTTGTCTCTGGTTCTCCTCCTCTAAGCCTCTTTTCTGTTTCCACTGAAATAATTATCTTGGGACAGAATAATGGATTTTGATATATGTGTTTTTTCTCTGACATAGCTTCAGTTTTCTCTAGTCTCTGCTTTCTCTCTTTCTTGGTAAGTTTTTTCCAAGTGGTCAAAGTTGCAGATTCTAATTCCACTTAAAATTAAGTGAAGCACTTGAGAGAAAAAAATCTGCCAACAGTTTTGATTTTGGCCGAGGTGGTGGTAAAGAGTCACATGAGTCAGGCAAATTAGCAATTCTGCCCTGAAGGCTTTAAAAGGCACATAAAACAAACAAGACTAGGGAGGAGAATGAAGTATCAAATCTCCATTGAGCTGTTGTACACACCTTCAGGCAAATCCTAGTTATTAGCAGATTCCCGAAATTGGGAATAACAAAAGAGACAAAACTGGGAGAAAAGAGTCTGGGTTGAGGGATACTGTGATTGTTCTTTCCTGGGTGGAGATAGTAGAGCAGGAAACAGTCAAGGTCATGGGTAACAAAACTGTATTGAACTGCAGACACCTGCTGCTGGTTGAGGATGCATTTGAAGGGTGACTGAGTTTCTCGTTGCAGGTAATTAAATGCACCTCTGAACTCCAGACCATGAGGTAAATCAATCATGGTTACTCTTTGTGCAAAACTGGCTCTGAATTAACACACCAGGTTTGATGGGATTTGAATTATTCAATTGACTTAAATCATCAAAATGCCTGAGTATTCCAAGTAATGTATATGCTTCTGATGAATTTGTATTTGGAAGGTGTTTAGGAGGAAATGGAAATGATGCTCAGGATATGAGCAAAAAATGAGCTCAGGATATGAGCAAAAAATCCTAAAGCTGTGTAGTTACCACCAAAATGGTGTTTTACATTCATGATCAGTTCTTAACATATTTATCCCTTGGCTGTAAGGGCAGAAAAGAGCATGGCATGTTTTAAATGGCAGCTGGATGTCATAATAATAGCTGTAGTATTCTTGTTTCTTCTGCTGACATTTGTTCAGGGTGAATTGCCTTCTAAAAAACATTTGCAACTAGTATCTTGTCCCGAGTTCTTTTCATGGAAATGAAAGACTCAGTTTGGAGTTGAATGATTTTTTTATGGGCCCCAAGAGTTTTTTTAAATCCACTTCTTACAGCCAAATTAGTAATGAAAACATCTGCTTTGATTTTTTGTTCTGCTGTTTTGCAGAACTTTCTGATGATTGCACCATATCTATAATTGCTTAATGATTATATGCATTTACAGATGATAGCTTCCTCTTGTAAAGCAAACAAATAATCTTGTGAATTTATGGAGCATACATATTTTTGAAAACTTTGCTCTACTACACCACTAACGCAAAGCCAGGCGTGAAGTGGTTGCAGATGAATTTGGCACAAGGTGGATGGAAGAATAAATAACAAGAGAAACAGGTAACAACTGCTGAGATCAATTGACTTTGCTTTTCCTTTGCAGTTTTGCTGACACTCATCTGTAGAAACTGTGGGCAAGCCTCTCTTCTGCTTAATTTTGTTGGAGGTGCCTCATTATAATACTCAAGCTTTTAAGTTCTGAAATGGTAGTGATTAGTTTCTGGAAGTTTGAAAAATTTTTGTTTGATTATAAGTGTGAAATTTGATGTCTTCTGGTGTATCTGTGATATTTGATGTTGACTCATGTAAATCATAAAATGTGTATTCAGTAATTAGGCATCTTTAAAGTGTTTATTTGGAGTATTGAGGGGAAAATAAACCAGAAGGCATCCAACTGAACAGATTGAGGGTCTTACTTTGCATTACTTAAAAGAACAGAGTCTCTAAAGATTAATGAGTTGGAGATGAATGAAGTAATACTTTTCAATAAAAAATTTGTACTCCATTTCAGTAGATGTTACTTCTGTAATTGATTGAAAAGAATCTTTGTAATTTTCACATCTTCATTCTAGTTCAGGGATGTCTGGTAAGATTCTCTTTGCTTTAGTATACAGGTGTTGGCTTTATGATAGAGGAGGAGTATTATCTCCAAAAAGGTGGGCCTACAAGAGCTTGTACATTCATGTGTACTAGATGCACATGTGGTTTGGGTGACTGCATGTTGACCTTTCAAAATTCCCATATTCAGGTTTTTTGTTGTCACAGTTGACAAGTTTATTGTTGCAAATAGAAAACCTTTTGTAAAATTAGTGTTACCCCAAAAAAAGCACAAAATCCACTCCACGCTAGATTACCTGCTTTATTCTAATTGACCCAGATTTTCTTTTTATTTTTTCTATTCAATAGTAAATAGCTGAAGTATACACTAAAGGTTTAATCAGGGACAGGACAAATGAATAGTTACGAAAATAATTTTGGTAGATATGTAGGGCCTGTTTTTTTATGCAACTAATAAGCTAGTGATCTTGTGTAAAATGGGTCTTATTCAGAATTATCAATGTCTTCTTGAGCTGAGTGATTTTATTAGCAGTAACTTGCTTTTAGAAGGCATGGGAGCATTTTCTGGAGACTTCAGAAGAAGGGGGGGTCTTTTCCGGTCAGTCAGTTCTGAAGCAGAGGAAAAAAGCTAATTTCTGTGTCCTTAGATACTGTTAAAAACAACTGCTAATGGAGGGATTTGGATTGAAACCACTGTGGGTTTCTATGTACAG